TTCTTGGAACTAATACTTTGTGCTTGACCAAAGGAAGGATTCATGGCTAGTCCCTCTTAGTTGAGCCACTCCAGGGCAGAACCCCCTTCCATGGCACAGGCAGGTGTGGTGGTGCAGCCTGGGAGCTGCCAGGGATCCCCACTTCTTCCAGTTCTGTTCTTGGGAGAATCCTCGGCTATAAATCATACACAATACTCATTATCTCAGGAGGCTTTGCCTCCAAGGAACAGGGCTTCTGTGAAATTGTAACTTCTGCCTCTAAAGCAGAATGAAGGAGGCTGGACACCAGCCAGGACCATTATTTTCTGTTCTGTTCAGGCCATAACAGGTTAAGAAGAGACACAAAACAGACAAGTGGACAGATGTTACTGTAAGGGTGTGGTTGGAATCTCATGGACACAGGAAGTGCAGGCTGTCCAGGGGATCCAGTGAACCCAAAGGAGGCAGCTCAGGGGTGAAACTGATGAGTTCAAGTTTGTCTCTGCAGCTCACTAGTTGTGAAAGCGTAAACAAGTCATTTCATAGCCCTTTGAACTCTTTTCTCTTAACAGCATCAAGGAAACTATTATCTTCCTTCCTTCTTATCTGTGAGAATCAGATGTCTTGTGAAGTGGCCAAGAATGATGGTTGTCAGGGAGCAGGTACCAGCAAAATGCATTAAAGATGATTTCAGTACTCTAAGCTGGACTCACGGGAGACTCTGTGAGCCATTCTCAGAAGTAGCAGAGGTAGGGACTAAGGGCAGGATGTTTTGGTTATGTTGAAATTTTCATCAGAACAGGATAGTCATGTAGGAAGTTCACTTAAACTGATGGAAATGCAGGACTTGAAGTGAGGAAAGAAGCCAAGGCTGGCTAGATAATCGGTTTTGGGACTGATCCAAAGAAAAGTGATAGTTACATTAGTAAGAGCAGAGCCACTGAGAGCACTGAAGTGGAACTAATGGAGAAAGAAGGGAACAGAGCTACAGTACACATGAAGTAAGTGAATGAGTGGCCAGAGAGATGAGTAGGAAGATGTTAGGACAGAAGGATGGAGAACATGTAGGGTTTTCAGTGCTGTTTCTGGTGATTTTAAAGTTTTTGCAGATGTATTGTTTTATCATGATCTCAAAAAGCTGATGTCATTACCAGGGAAGTTTTGAAAAGAGTAATGAAAAAGTGTAAGTGCGCCTGTGATATACAGATTAAGAGAAACAAAACATCACTTTTGAAATTAGAACAACTATATGTGCATATCATGAGAAGTCAGCAAAATATTTGAAAAGGGCAGTTGCAAAAATATTTAAAAATACATTATCTAAAACCTGGCCCTAGTTATCATCCTGGGAGAATGTGGAGTGTGATATGGTGGACAAAGCACAAAATTCAGTTAGGTCATTTTGGATTCAAGTCCTGCAATGCTGGAAGTTACTGATACTTGAGGTGCCTGTTTCTTCTCTAAAATGCCACCACTTAAGTTGCTAGTAGCATCTATTGGGTGATAATTAAGCCCGTCAATGTATATGAAGCACATTGTGCAGTAATAGTGAATGTCACACGTTAGGACATTCTTATGTCTCTTTCGCATTGCTGTTTAACACTAGGTGGCAGCAATGCCTGCTTAACCAATTAGAATGACAAATGCTAACTTTCTGGAAGAGACTGGTGAAGGTTTATTTAACAGGAAGTCGGGGGTGGAGAAACACCAGCAGAGCAGCAGGGAGAGAGATTGAGATAGAGTAGACATAGAAAATGAGGGAGGGAAGAAAGGAGAGACATAGAAAAGGGTGAATAGAGAATTAATAGAAAGAAATGGGTATTTCAAAAGAAAATACTGAAAATAGTCTGGGGATAAACTGGATCTTTATTGGACATCCTTCCCATTAGAAAATTGTGATATTTTTGTTTGTAAGTATACGTGCAGGAGTGGCATATACCATACATTTTTTTTTGTTTGTTTTGGCAGCTCTAGGGTTTGAACTCAGGGCTTCATGTTTGCAAGGCAGTCACTATTACTGCTTGAGCCACTCCACCAGCCCTTTTTTATATGATGAGTTTTTTTGAGATAGGGTCTCATGAACTGTTTGCCTGGGGCTGGCTTTGAACCTCAAACTTCCTGATCTCTGCATCCTTAGTAGCTAGATTACTAATGTGAGCCATTAGTGCCTCATACACATACATTTTTTTTATGTTGACAGTGTTTTTAAGGATCTTAAGTGGTCTTGAATGAGATATTGCAAAATTAGCTACAGGGCAAATGTCTATAAAAACATGTTTTACTGCTCATTTTTATCTTAGTGTTAATCTCAATTATAAAAATATGGGCATTTTCCACTATGTAAAACATTCCTTTTACAGTAAGACATTTGATGGTATATTAAATATTATTTATTGTGGTGTAACTATTATCCCAGAAGTTGGTGGCTTAAAATAATGAACTTATTATCTTATATTTTCTGAGGGCCAGGAATCCTGGAGGTGCTTATTTGGGTATTTCGAGGTCACCCATGAAGTTTTCAGTCAAGCAATCAGCTGGGAGTGTAGTTATCCAAAAGCTTGATTGAGCCTTGAAGGATCTGATTCCAAGATGCCTCATTCACACAGTTGGTAGCAAAAGGCATTAATTCCTTTGCAATGAATTCTCCATAAGATAGTTTTAGTGCTTTTCCAACATGGCAGCTGTCCTCTTCCAGGTGAGTGGTCCAGGAGAGGCTGCAACAAAGAAGCCACAGCACCTTTTATGACCTCATTGTAGAAGGTATATGCTGCATCTTACACCATATTTGTGCAAAGTGAATCACAGAGGCAATAAACACAATTGTCAGGGATTTTATACATATATGGGAAACAAGAGTTTCCACACAGAAATCACAAATTGTCTCATGTCTTTCAGTATGGCCTTAGAGTCATCCCATCATCTTCCTGGGCCTTGATTTCTTAAGTCTGTAGAGGAAAACAGGCCATGGGTCCATTCATGAGGCACTCTACAGTGGCCTGTGCCTGCTCTATTCTAGGTGTGTCATCAGATAACTCCTGTTTTTTCATTTCTAACGTGAAGTGATCTAGAACAGTGTATTCATTTTTTAGTTTACTTATTTTTTTCTGGTACTGGGGATTGAACCCAGGGCCCCATACATGGTAGCCAAGTACACTACTACTGGGCTACATCTCCAGCCCTAAAACAGTGCTCTTGACCCCTTACACCCATTGTAAGAAATACATTTTACATTAAATCTGAACACATACAGGCATGTACATATGTATATGTGATAGCAATGGAATTGTATCTTACACTTGTGTGGTATACTCTCATTTTAGTCTATTTCATTAAAAACATTTCAGGCCCAAATCTACTTCATTGGTTTCACAATCCATTAAGGACTCACCATTCTTTGTGTTAAAAACTAACACCGTTTTCACTATTTGGTGCCCACTTTCCATTGTTGAAGAGTCAGACAGTCCTCACTACTAGTTTCTGGGAGGCACAGAAGCACCTGCTAAAGAGATTCTACCCTGGGAATGTCTCCTAATCCTGCAGCAGCTGGGTGTCACAAGTAGCCTGTTAGAAGGAGAGGTTCCTGTGTTTAACTTCGAAAGTTGGCCTTGAAACTATGTGACTGCTAAGTGTAGTCCTCTCTACAACTGGAACCATCAGTACCTCCCTCGCTTGTTTCACAGAGCTGTTATTCCAATCACACTTGGATAATTAGGCTCTTATGCGGCAGAGAATGTACAGGCCCATCTTCACGACAACCTTCAAAGGTGCAATATTACCCTTGCTTTGAGGCGCAGAGGAGTGACATGCCCTTTCAGTGGCAGGGTTAGAATTCCAACCCAGTCCTGACGTCAAAACCCTCACACAGTGATGTAAGCTATTTTCCCTGGGACCTTAGTTTGCGACCGTCTGACGTAGTCACATATGGAGTCACACCGAAACACTGACAGTCTGATCACTTTCGAAAATGGCCCATTAAGCCACGACTCCTAATCCCGTTTGCTCTTCGCAGGAACACGTAAGGAGCGGTCACACCTGGGCACATTTCTCTCCATGGCGCCCCCGGCGAAGTCCCCAAATGGCCGGGCCACCCCTGCCGGGTGAAAGAGTGGTCTCGGGGCGTGGCCGGCTCCCGCCCGCGCGCGCTGCACCCAAGGGCTTCTCGCGGGCCGCACCACAAAGCCCTTTATTGAGGCCGCGGCGTGGCGCACAGAGGCCGGCGGGGCGCCGCCCGCAGCTCGGCGGAGGGCCGGAAGGAGGCGAGCGGCCGCGGCGGGCCGGCGTTGCGGTGCGGTTCGGTGCCAGCGCGGCCATGTGCGCCTAGTCCGCGCGCGCTGCGCTGGGTCCTGGGGCCGCCACGCGCCCAGCCCCGCGAGCCGCGGTAAAGAGGCCGCCGAACTCCGGGGGCCGCGGCCCGGCGAGGGTGCACCCGGCGCGGGCGGGTGCGGGCCGGCCCGCCTGCCTCTCCGCGCCTTCGCCCCCGCCTGCGGCCTCCACCTCTCCGGGAACCGGTTCCCACCCCAGCTGCCGTCGGGGAGGGAGGCGCGCCCCGAGTCGGGGTGCAAGGGCGGGGCGCGGGAGTGGTGCGAAGACTCCGCCACCGTTGAAGTCCTGACTTGAATGCGGGAAGGCTGGGGAGGGCTTGCGTGGTTTAGAGGTCTCAGGCCTCAGGGCCGGAAGTCCCGGGGCCAAGCAGAGCCACTTGTCGCTTAAACGTGCAGCAAGCTGACGCGTCTTGGCATTCGGTGTGTGTACTTGTCTGGCAGGCTTAGGCAAAGATCAGATACCATGACAGAGCACCGAAACCTTGTGTCAGGATGACAAATCTTGCCCGGCGTTTTCTCCTTAGGTGGTGGCAAAATTGATAAAATGAATACCAGTTTTACATTCGGGGTCAGGTTCAGTGAAGGGCTGTCTGAAGTTCTGAAATGCTTTTTCCCGACATTATTTTATTTTATTATTTGGCTATAAAACATTCACGTGAAAGCCATTAATTAGGTGGGCTGCAATCTTTTCAGGCAAAGTGAACACAGCATCTGGCGTTACATCAGGCACCAAGGACATTGGACTGTGACAATTCACCATGGCTTACTGCCTGCCAAGAAAGAACACAGTGAAAACCATCTTTCGGGGCAGTTGTTATAAAGTGTAAGTTTTTTTTTTTTTTTTTTGCCACCATAGTATGGCTGGAGTGGGAAGTGTCTATTAAAATAAAAGGACTGGACAGCCTTATGCTCCCAATGAGATACTGGACTACATGAGGTACTTTCAGGTGTCTGGATACTGATTTTGCTTCTAAAAAACAACTCCTTTTATAAGAATATACCACTGACCTACCCAGAGAAGTTTGGTCTAGTCAGTGTTATGATGTTGTAGAGGTCCGAGTTTGTTTGTTTGTTTGTTTTTTACTACCACCTACTATCTTAAAATATCTGGTTGGACAGTCCAAATCTACTACAAATACTCTGGTGTCAGATGTATCTTAACACAGCAGTTCAGTAGCTGGTACTGAGTCAGTTTAGCATCCTATCTGCTTTGGCAGGAAGTGTACAGACAACATGGACTTTGCAGTCAGGAAGACCTGCCCCAAACCTGGCTCCCTCTGCAGACCTCCTGTGCCATGGATATAACAGTGCTTATCTGTACTTGCAGGTAGCCTGGAATGTGAAGAAGGCATGATGAACATGTATGGCTGCACACAGTGGTTTCAGTCTGTGGCATTTGTTTCTTCTTTCTTTTCTTTTGTGGCACTGGAGTTTGAACTTAGGGCCTCATGCTTGCTGGGCAGGTGCTCTGCCACTTGAGGATATCTTTTCTTTTTTTAAACTTTTGGGTTTGTTTTCCTTTGTTAGCTCCTCTGCTTCAGTTTATCACATTTTTACTATTGTGACTCAAGTGAATTTTTCTTTTGAACAATACTCTAAGATGTAAATTGGGATTTCTTACAGGGTTATAAAACCAGAGAAAACTCATCATTACCGTCTGCTTAACTTTGTCAATTCAGTATGTGTTTAGACCTTGAAGTATGGGCAAGTATTGTTGTAGTAAATACCATTGTAAATGTAAGTTTTATGTGAAAATACTTCTGCTTTAGTCAAATGATTGGCAGAACCAACTCTGTGGTGTGGGCACTGCAGAGCTCTGTATCATGTACAGTCTCTGCAAACCCAGGGCTTTCTCTGTCATTCTTTGAAGAAAGTATCTGCTATCATACGAAGATCAACTAGCCTGAAACAAAATGGCAGTAGTACTCCTTAGCCTTCATATGTTAAGGTACTCTTTAGCTTGGGCCTTTTTTTGGTTAAGTGTTTTTAAAAGATTATAAAAATAATACACTAAAAACAAGCAAAGAGTTTGGAGGCACATGAAAAGAAAGTAAAAATGCCATCTCTAATGCGCCTATTCAACCTTCAAGTCTCACTCAGAGGTAAAATATTCTGTATTTTTTTTCTTGGAGTTTTGCTGCTGTAGGAGACATGCACTGTCTAAATACACATACATACATGTTTTTGCAAGTGGAATCCTATCGAACTTTGCTTCTTCCCAATGAAAGACTTTGGAACTCACAGTTCTTATCTACATATGCTTACACAGAAAGATTGGATTGACTCCAAGAAGGAAGCATTGGGAACAAAAGTTCCTAGAATTATAATTTCTGGTCATTTTTCATTATGTACTTTGGTTAATAGATGGCTTCTTCTAGTTAGAATTGCAACTCTGGAAAATCCTGAGTACTCACAGTAAACCAAAATGTCTAGTTAATAGAAATGGGAATTAACAAGTTCTTGTATTTCACACAGTATGTGGTCAACAAATATTTGTGGAATGAAATTATGGATTTTCACCCCAGACAGGAACCTTGGGATCTTGCACTGCTTACAAAGAATTGGTGTACTAATTTAGCCAACATCAGATTGCCTTTCTTGGAAGAGATTACATTTGGTGGTACTGTGCAACTTGCAAAATGTAAAACTGCTAAGAATGGTCTGCTTCCTTCAGCAGAATGTAAGTCCTTAAGATCTGCTTTAATAAATTGCACATTGTGTATATCATTTGCTTATTATCTGAGAAATGTTTAGATATTCTGTCCATACCCATACCTCCTATCTTTTTTTTTTTTAAATAATTCCTATATTTGTAGCCTTGGCATCTTTTCCATTATTCAACAATGTGAATTTGCTGTATGATACTCAGTTTTGACTAAATTATGCCTGGTGAAAAATACCAGTCAGATTGCTTCATGTGTTTTATTTTTTAGCCATCAAACTTGAAAGGGAGTATGAAATGAAGCGCCTAACTAAACTTAAATGCCAAGAAAATGTATACAAGGAAATTCAGTCTTCTCTAAGGGAAGGGAAAGCTGGTTTGAGAAGACCTCTGCAGCCCAAGTGACAGTTACCTCATCGAGTCTGTGCTGTTTCCTGCATCCACAGTGGGTAAAGGGCTCCCCGCAACTCTTTGTATAAAGTTCAGACACAGGAATGCATACTGGTAGACGAGCCAGTGCCTAGACGTGGATGAGTGGACAGCTCCGACCAACAGGCCTCCTGGGTCCCTGTCACACTTTTCCTTTGTATCACAAGTAGCACACTGTAAGTAGACAGAAGTGCACCTGAAGTTGAGTCACTTGTGTGTTCATTTTAATTTTTGTGATACTGCACTAAAGAAAGAGGCAGCTTCTTCTCAGAAGCATTATTTTGAAGAAACATTTTGAATTTGCATCTGGAGGTCCCATGGAGGTACTGAAAAGAAGGCAAAGAGAAATTCTCTTAAAAAGGATAAAGTGAAAATTTTTGTTTGGTTAAGAAAAATGGTAGATTCCGTTTTGATAACTCTGGTTTCTGTTTTCAGTGGAATATCATTTATTGTTCTCATGTGATATATTAAAGTAGCAAGTAAAACTTATTTTTGTTTTTGTTCTCCAAAAAAACATTGTCAATCTTTTTCTTTCTTCCTAATTTCACATTTTCTACCTGGAATAACACTGGAGCATGTGGAATACACAATACATACATGAAAGTACAAAGAAAGTCTGATGAGGACAGCTAATGTTGCACAGAGAGGTTGGGGAGTGGGCAATTAACTGGGAAGAACTGAATTTCAAACCAGTTTTTCTAGGATTTGAGTCCAATAAAGTATACTTGGTTGTTAATGTTATATTTAAGCAGAGTTTTGTGGGTTTTTTTTTTTTTATGATTCAGTGGGCATCTTAGGACCTTTTTCTTATCTGCGTACTGAAAAAGGTACAATGGTAGAGTATATAAAAGTACAGGCTTGGGCTGGGGTACACCTCAGAGGTAGAGTATTGTATGAGGCCTTGGATTAGATCCAGCACCACCAAAAAACAAACAAAAACATACAGACTTTAGACCTGCTTGCCTTTCTTCAAATACCAGCTAGCTTCTTGTAGTGATGTGACCTGTGGTAAGTGACTTTGTCTCTGAGTTCAAGTTTTCTTTTGTGTAATGTGGGAATAATAATGGTGGTGCCTAATTCATAGAGTTGTCATTAGGATGAAATGAAAACTGCCTTGTATACAATGAGAATTTGTCTGTTACACTACAATCTAGGTATAAAAGATAAATGGTGTTGACTTCTGCAGATACCAAAAATCTTGAATTTTCAAAAATTTGGTTTTGTTCTTGTCAATGTATATGTCCTCAGACTATGATTTTTTTGTTCAAAATATGGCCATTGTACCTGTGGCAATTCCTGATCATATCTGTTTAAAAGCAGTAATCTCTGGCAATCAGCTTGTCACTGTGCCTTTTTCTTAAAAGTAGCATGGAGCATTTGTGTGAAAATACCTCATCCTGACACAGTCTTCACTGTGTCACTCAGGACCGTGGATATCAGTTTGTGGTCTACTCTCAGGAGCCACCAGGGCCTTAAACATTTCACATCTTACCTCAGATAGATGATAGAAGCTACCTACTTCCCTCCTTTTTCAGAGCTGCTATGAAAATGAGTGAAATATGTATCTGTTTGCAGAAAACTTTCTAGCACAAAACATTTTAATATCCTTTGAGAAAAGGTGGAACTTGAGAAAGCCCTAGTTCCTCATCACTTTCTAAAGAGAAAAGTGCCTGCTTGCAGCTTTGTGATTCTTCTAATTATGTCATGTTTTTAGGCAGATGTTTTGAGTTCTTAAAACTGCTTATATTGAGATAAAGTTACATAAAGTTACATTGCAAAATAAATTTGAGTAAAAATGAGTTTCTCTTTTTCTCTCTCTCTCTGGTGGTAGTGGAGTTTGCACTCATGGCCTCTAGTTTATTCGGCAAGTGCTCTATTACTTGAGCCACATACCCTGCCCTTTCTGCTTTTTAATGTTCTTTTTTGGATGGGGTCTTGAGTTTTTTGCTGGGCTGACCTGGATGGCGTTCCTTCTATTTATGCCTCCTGCTTAACTGGTATTATAGATATGAACCACTGTGCCCAGCTTTTTGGTTGAGATGACATCTCACTAACCTTTTTCTGGGGATAGCCTTGAACTAATGTCTGCCTCCCAAGTAGCTGGGATTACAGGCGTGAACCACCACTGCTGGCTCTCTCTCTTCTGAAATGAATGCTATCTGTTTTACTTACTACTCCAGTGCCTAACTCATGCAGACAATGTACGTTTGTTGCTGGAAATCTTCCATATGGCCAAAGGTCCACATGGGAAGCACTTGGCAGTTGTGTCCTTGCCATTTGTGATAGGATACTTTTTTTAGGGACAAAGCCGTGCTGTGAATGAGTCTGGGCACAAACAGTTCAAAACAAAGATGAGAATGAGTAAATAAACAAATATTCCAACTTAAAAGTTACTGCAATCTAATTAAAACAATTTTAACAGCACATATAAACTCCGTGTATCACAGCTTTGTCATTGATGTCACAAATTGTCTTTTTATGTATCTATTAACATTACAGTTATGTTTGTGCTTTTTAAAAAAGATTCTATGCCAAACTTAAAAGTTGATTTACAAGACTAGACGTGGTGCTCATGCTTGTAGTCCCAGCTGCTTGAAGACTGAGTCAGGGGGATCACTGGAGCCCAAGAGTTTGAGGCCAGCCTGGGCAACATAGTAAGATCCTGTGTCCAAAAAAAAAAAAGTGATTTGAATACTAACATTACAGTGTTATAGAATTCTATATCTTGTCTACATATTTACCTTTACCAAAGAGCTTTATGTTTTTGTATGATTTTGTGTTGCTGTCTAGTGTTCTTTTGTTTCAACTTGAAAGATTCTCTTTAGCATTTTTTTGTAGAGCAGATCAAGTAGTAATGAACTCATTACTCATTTAGCTTTTGTTTAATCCAGGAAAGTTTTAATTAATTACTACTTTTTTCTCCCCCTAATTAAAATATTAATTAAAATGATTATTATGAAGGGACATTTTTGTCACATGTAGTATTCTTGGTTGACAGTTTTTTCCTTCAGGACTTAGAGTACATTATCCCACTTCCTGCCAGTATGCCAGGTTTATACTGAGAAACTTGCTGATATGCTAATAAGAACTCCCTTGTGTGTGTGAGTAACTCTTCTCTGTTTTTAGGATTCTGTCTGAGACTTTTTTTTTTTCTTAATTTTAATTTTTTTATTATTCATATGTGCATACAATGCTTGCATCATTTCTCCCCCCTGCCCCCACCCCCTCCCTTACCACCCACTCCGCCCCTCTCTCTCCCCCCAACCCCCTCGATACCCGGCAGAAACTATTTTGCCCTTATCTCTAATTTTGTTGAAGAGAGAGTATAAGCAATAATAGGAAGGAACAAGGGTTTTTGCTGGTTGAGATAAGGATAGCTATACAGGGAGTTGACTCTGTGACTTTTGAAAGTTTGTTTTGATACGAGTCACTCAGTTTATCTTGGTGTTTTTGAAGCTTTTTGAATTTATATGTTCATTTTCTTTCTCAAATTTGGAAAGACTTTTGTCTATTTTTTCTACATAAGCAGGTTTGATGCCCCTTTCTCTTCCTCTTTTTACTGGGTATCCCATAATGCATCTATCTATCTATCTATCTATCTATCATCTGTTTGATGGTATCCCATACACTTACTAAACTCTCTTCACTTTTATTCATTCTGTTTTCTTTTTTCAAGTGATTTGTCTTTTAAGTTTGCAGACTACATTTCCTGCTTGATCAAGTCTGCTATTGAACCATCCTAGTGGATGTTTCAGTTCAGTTATTGTATTCTTCAGCTCTAGATTTTGATTTTTAAATGGTTACTATTTATTTATTGATAGTCTCATTTTGTTCATGCATTATTTTCCCAATTTTGTCTGATTTTCTGTCTATGTTCCTATTATCTTACTGAGCATCTTTAAGATGGTTATTTTGAATTTGTTGTTAGGTAATTCACAGGTCCACATTAAAGTTGATTTTTGGAGATTTTTTCCCCCCTTCGATTGGACCATGTTTCTATTTTTCTTTGTATGCCATGTGACTTCTTCTTGAGTTGTAGGCGCTTGAAAAAGTAGCCACTTCTTTGGTGCTGTACCAAAGTGTGGTGTTCACCTAAGTTCTCAGTCCCCCCAACCTGGCATCCAAACCATCATTCTTTAAAGAACCGTTTTCTGGACAGTGGATGTAGCTCAGTGGACAAGTACCTGCTTAGCATCTAGGAGGCCCTGGGTTTGATTTCCAGCAATACAAGGTGAGTTATATTTCTCTGATGGCTAAAGATATTGAGCATTTTTCATGTATTTATTGACCATTTGTACCTCTTCTTTTGAGAACTATCTGTTCAGTTAATTCACCCACCTATTGATTGGATAACCTGTTTTTCTGGTATTTAATTTTTTGAGTTCTCTATATATTTTGGATAGATATAGGCAGACTCCACTCCCATTCTGTAGTATCTCTTTTCACTCCAGCTATTGCTTCCTTTCCTGTGCAGAAGCCTTTTTAATTTGAAGCAATCTTTCTTGTTAACTCTTTCTCTTATTTCCTGAGCTACTAGAGTCCTATTCAGAAAGTCATTGCCTACCACCAAATCTTGAAGTGTTTTTCTGCAGTAATCTCAAAGTTTCTGGTCTTACATTAACGTCTATGATCCATTTTGAATTGATTTTTTGTACAAGAGGATATGGATTTAGTTTCTGTCTTCTACATGTGGACATCCAGTTTTCCCAGCACCATTTGTTAAAGAGACTGATCTCCAGTGTGTATTTTTGGTTCCCATGTTGAGAATCAGATGGGTGTAGCTATGTGGGTTTTGTTTTTTTTTAAATGTAGGTGCTTGCAGCTATAAACTTCCCTCTCAGAACTGCTATTGCTGTATCCCAAAGGTTCTTATAAGTTGTGTTTTCATTTTCATTTGATTTTAGGAATTTAAATTTTTCCTCCCAAATTTCTTTAGTAACCCACTATCATTCAAAAGTGTATTTTTCAATCTCTGTGTTTATATAGTTTCTGTAGTTTATTTTACTATGGATTTGTAATTTTACTCCATTATTATCTGACAAGATAGATGACATTCTTTTCTTTTTTTTTTTTTTTTTATTTGTTAAGGTTTGCTTTATGATCTAAAATGTTATCTACTTTGGAGAAAGTTCTATGGGCTGCTGAGAAGAATGTGTATTCCATAGTTGTTGGATGGACTGTTTTGTAGATGTCTGTTAAGTCTATCTGATATATGGTATATTTAATTATGATGTTTGTGTGTTGATTTTTTTTGTCTGGATAATGTATCTATTAGTGAAAATGGGGTATTCAAATCACTCACTATTATTGTATCTGGACCTATGTGTCCCTTTATATCCACTAGTGTTT